CCGCCGTGACCTCAGTTTCGATGTGGGTGATTGGGTTTATGTCAGGCTCCGCCCTCGCCGCCAAAGCTCTGTCACGGGCCAATACCTTGGCAAGTTGCAAAAACGGTTTTTTGGTCACTTCCGCGTGGGAATTGGAGAGATCTCAGATACACTCACAGTCAAAGTATGAAGAGGGATGAGAAGGATGTGAAGAATGAGAGGGGAAGGGGCGTTTTTATAGTAAAAAGTAGGTCAGTACGGCCCGTATTGAATTCAGTACGGCCGTACTGACCTTTCCGTTAATGTTCAAAAGAGGAGACCAATACGGTCCGTATTGAATTCAATACGCCCGTATTGGTGGCCAGTACGGGCGTATTCAACTGGGTACGCCCGTACCGGGTTAAAGATATGTTCTTAACCCTATTTTTAATACGGGCCGTACCGAATTGGATACGGCCGTATCGATTTTTTTTTTTTTTTTTTTTTTTTTTTTTTTCTAAAAGGGGGAAATGAATTTTAAAACACCCCCCCCACCATTCTTTTTTTTTTTTTCTAAAAGGGGGAAATGAATTTTAAAACACCCCCCCCACCATTCTTTTTTTTTTTTTCTAAAAGGGGGAAATGAATTTTAAAACACCCCCCCCACCATTCTTTTTTTTTTTTTCTAAAAGGGGGAAATGAATTTTAAAACACCCCCCCCACCATTCTTTTTTTTTTTTTCTAAAAGGGGGAAATGAATTTTAAAACACCCCCCCCACCATTCTTTTTTTTTTTTTCTAAAAGGGGGAAATGAATTTTAAAACACCCCCCCCACCATTCTTTTTTTTTTTTTCTAAAAGGGGGAAATGAATTTTAAAACACCCCCCCCACCATTCTTTTTTTTTTTTTCTAAAAGGGGGAAATGAATTTTAAAACACCCCCCCCACCATTCTTTTTTTTTTTTTCTAAAAGGGGGAAATGAATTTTAAAACACCCCCCCCACCATTCTTTTTTTTTTTTTCTAAAAGGGGGAAATGAATTTTAAAACACCCCCCCCACCATTCTTTTTTTTTTTTTCTAAAAGGGGGAAATGAATTTTAAAACACCCCCCCCACCATTCTTTTTTTTTTTTTCTAAAAGGGGGAAATGAATTTTAAAACACCCCCCCCACCATTCTTTTTTTTTTTTTTTTTTTTTTTTTTTTTTTTCCAATAAGGGTAATGAGATTCTCAAAACACACCTCATACATACGTATATATTTTACTAATGATCTGATATTATGATATATAGGACTAAATGCATCCCTCCATACTATTTTTTATTTTGTATTTACAAATTTCATTGTCAAGGTTATTGAATTGTGTTGAATTATAAAAATTTTTAAAAAAAAGGTAAAAAAAGCCTTTATACTCTAACAAATAATAGATTAAAATATTTCGTTTTATAATTTATTATATACAAATTATTTTTCAACACAATTCAATAAAAAAATTGTTATTTGAATTAACAGGCCTGGACAGAAATTAATTTTAACATAATATTTTAAAGATA